AAGCTGAACCTGCGCTTATATATTTATGATAGGCCATCTTTAGTATATTAGTTAGATCATGATATTGAGTATAGATGTGGTTCTGTTTAATAAACAACATAAAGCTAATATAAAACACTGAGTTCGCCCGATTTTACTTGGCGCAGCCTATTGACGGATTGTATCTTAAAGCGTCGTTTTGACAAGTTTGTATCACGTCCTACTTAACTTGAAGGTGTTCGATTGGGCTGCTGGAAGCCTGGAGCGATTATACACAAAGGTGTCGCTGCTTTCAATGCTGTTTATCATCAGAAAACTTTTTTGTACCCTTTAAGGTATTTTTGCTTCTGTTGGCGAAATATACATTGGTTTCTGTTTCTGTGCTTGCCTGACCAATCTAATTTTGTTTTATGAAGTTACTTTGAGGTTACCACATGATTTACTAGGTAGGGGCTGAGCCATTAGGAAACCTGCAGAGTTGACCTTAATGACCTGTTTATTATGCTCCACTATTTTACTAAAGAAGACTTGAATATGTGATGAGTTAGGTTTAAGGTGTCCTCGTGTAGACAGAGTGACAACAGGTTTCTTCGCTAAAATCCCCGATACATGAAGCGGTCTACACCGGAAGCTGTACATAGACACACTTTGTTTCATGCTGAAGCCAGCCGCCATAAGCAGTGTTTAATGGCAGTAGCGGACATAAAATTTCAAATGTTTATATAAGTTAAAGTTACACCTTAATCGCGTAAATTTCACTTTAAGTACATACATCAGATTGTCTACTTAATCACCGCCTGCATGCAGTTCATGCCCAGTCTGGTGGATTACGACACAAGATACAACCTCTCATAGTTCAACAAATCACTGACTTTTATTATGCTTATATATAATAAATAAAGTTGGTTTCATGTTTTGCTCATATTTTATTTGGCTTTCATTCAAATTCTGATTTCACTTAGCAGTAGATGAGCTAATGCTTTATTGATGATGCCTTTTTGCCAACGTTGATTTGATTGGTCTACGGGTTAAGGCGATCCTGCCGGGCAGCAATGGTTTCGGCCCCACCGCAGGATTCGATCTTCGTCGTTTTGTACCACCTCTTCTATATGACACAGTATATGTGCTCACATTGTATACGCCGCATAGCCCATCGGTTTACTTCCTTTCTGCTATACGAAGTAGACTTCCCTTACCACTTCAGTACTCCAGTCACACCCACGAGCGCTGCGATCACCCCATCAGAGTTGGACAAGCAACATCGACCAGGCTATCAGTCGAAATTGTTTCTGCAACATATCTGTCAATCAGGTGTCATATCCCCGTGGCTAGACAGTATTGATACCCCAGACAATGATATTCAGAGACACCACAAAGTGACATCGAATGACACGTGCGTCCGATGTCATCCGTCCATCCTCCAGGAGTCAGTCATTTCTTTAAATGATGATATACAAATTGAGATGTGTTGCGCGTTAAGTACTAAAGATCAATTGATAAATGTATGTGTGAAACAGGTATAAAGCTCTGTCGTATTACGTACGTATTGGACGTTTATATGCAGCCTATAACGAAATAAATCGAGTTGCTTGTTCTAATTTGTTCTTTTCACCAAGCTCAATAAATAACATCCGAGCCCAACACTGCAACAGGTACGGTACTGAGAAATACATTGTAACTAGCTATATTTTGGATGTGATGACCAACCTGCCGGTAACGCTTTGCTTTGATACCACGGGGAGCTAAAAACTTCCATAAAGAACAGCGGATCCTTCCGCGTGGACGCAACGAAAAGAGTCATGGATGCATATTCTTCGATTAGGTGCGCAAGGATTCATCGGTCGTGCAAGTGGGCAAAAGCCAAGTTCTTTTTATAAAAATCAGTGGCGTAGTGGAATTCATTTTCGAAAGAGCCATTCTATATGAGGTCGGAAGACCGAGTTGGGGGCAGGTGGAAAGCTTGACAGACGCGACGCAGAAAACGATGCCAATCAACCCTTAGCAATACAAGCAGTTCCAGTAAACACTTTGATCTTATTGCGTACAGTTAGTACCTTACGTTGAGAAATAAAGCCAGTAAAATATGCTTGCGCTCCGTCAGCTTTTAGCTAACCTTCCCCATTTTATGTGTATAGCGTCAACAGTCGAACGTCTTCTGCCTGTTCAATATTTCTGCCAATCTGCTGAAAGGCTTAGAAGTTCAGAAGTAGCTCAAGCACAGAGCAGCTAAGCCGATTCTGGTGAAACAGCCAACGGTATTGTGCCACGTCAATACCTATAGACAGCCATGCATCGCCTATATATATGAGCAGATGAATATGCATACATATAGAAGTGTTATGTTAGAGATCGGGAGTGGTCTATGAGGGGCACAACGCAACGTGTAAACGCAGGTATCGGCCGCCGTAACAGAACCGTACAACCGGCCTGAGATACTGGTTTGTTGATATTCGCAACATATAAGTACGGCGTAATAATGTAAATGCAGGCGAGAATAACGATAGTAATAAGACTCATATCTATAGCAATGCGACCATATGCTGCCTGAAAAGGTAAAATAACAGTTAGCACTATTCAAAGATATATTTGAAGAACAGGTAAATATAAACGTAACCGTATGATGTATGATAGCATTGCGGTTGTCTACGTAGTACAAAAAGCGGTAGTAAAAGAACAGAGGAGGACAGGATCAAAAGAAAGAGTACAAACAATAGCCGCGTACGGTAGAAAAATTAGGTTATAGTAGAGGTCTATCTTAGCGTTGGATCCTATAAGTAACTAAAATCAGTGTAATTTTTCTTGAAAGAAGGGAAAATATTTCTCAGAGTAACCATCTTACCTCATTCATAGAGCAGATTTGTACAGGTTACAAGCAATATACAGGTTTTTCTAAATTTCTTATACAATAATATTTATGCAGAGCATCAGAGATCAGTACCCTTATTCTCGTATTAAAGACCGGTGCTTAATAATCGAGAAACCCGAGCAATATGTACGAAGGTTTCTAATGCACCTCAACTTCGCGCATTACATACATCTGATTTCCGGGAATTCATAGGATAAAATTGTATATACATATATATGCATATCCTCACAGTCGAAACGACGTAAAAATTCTGATATAACAATTTGCATGTGGAGCTCTTTTTAAACATATGCTTAGAACTAGTTCCTAAATCGGGAAAATGTTTCTTCTTTAATCCGAAAATTATGTTTTAATAGGAACAGCGCATCAGGCAACCGTAATAGGTATAGATCCGCTAAAGGTTCGTTCAAGTACGCTACGTCCGAGAAATGGAAGCTGAATTACATTCTGGGTAGATAAAAAACTAAATATTGCAAAGATGCAAAGGTTTAAAAAAAACAAAAGATTTCAAAGCTGTAAAAGAGTGCAAAGGCTAAGAAGGTTAAACGTTGGACAACCAAGTTCGATAGATTGTTAAGCCCTTTAAATCTAAACTCTACTGAAGACCTTTTGGTTTGCCTCGTGGAAATCTTTTTTTAAATTTTTCAGAAGCCACATTAAAGCCGGGATTAACGTAAACTGTCGATTTCAGAAAGAGGCTTTTGATCTTGGGGGGAATCACTCAATGCAGAAAGATTGGATAACTTATTTTCGCATACATGTTCTATTGTGGCGAGTTAGCACGCCAAAGTATGTCCCAATTTAGGTGTCGTAAGAAATATTATACAAAAAACAACACGGGGGGGGGGGGGCAGAACGGCCAAAATAAGACATTAAAAGACAGACAGCGGAATAGTGAACGGCCGGTTGTATACGAGTGAAGCAACAGCGAAGTTGGAAATTTATGTCAAGATAAAAGTCCTTATTTTTGGATGGCCTGCAGTCTATAACAGAACAACCAACGATAAACTAAGTTAGCTTTTGGCTAATAATATAATGGTTTAAGTATCTAGGTAGCTCGACTGACAAACACAATCAACATAAAGAAACTGAAAAGATACAACGATACTTTTGTTAAAGTTTTTGAAGCGAATGAAACAAGGTAGGCCTCTTAACTAAGGTGTACCGTAACAAATTTTAACTGCAGACGTCCAAACGAAAATATTAATAAGCACAATACTTACTTTCTAAAGGACTTGTCTATTTCCTTATTATATTACTCCAGCAAATGATGAACTTTCCGTTTAAATTATTTACTTCAAATTCCCAACCCAGTTACCGAAAATATGCGCCATAGAGTTGTTAAACTTTATTAGGTATTATCAATTTACGGCTTCCTTCAGCGGTCAGAAGCACACTTCAGCCGAACGCACATAGTCAATTTTATGGGCACTTTCTGAAAATACACATCCATTTTATGGAACACACATGTGGAAATCGTTTCCGCATGAGGAGCAATAATAGTAGATACAAAGTGGACTATTTTTAAAACAATAGTTCTTCCTGTCATTCTGCTATGGGAAATTGCCGATTTCATAGCCATCGATGATTGTCTAATGCTATTTGTGTCTAACAGAACTGATACAATCCACCATAATAGACACAAAACTCTTCAGATGTTCCTATTGAAGTTATGCTTTAAGTTGAAAGAGCTTATTACTTAAGCGACTTCACGCATTCGTAAATAGTGGTCTGGAGGTCATTCTGTCGTATTAAATGGATAACAGTTGCTCCGAAGGCGAGGAAATGCAGTCGATTTTCTACATTCCCGAAATGTGCTTCATTCATGATAACGGTTCAATATGTTCGCCATAGATTAAAACTAAAGTAAAGCAGTTCGCCCCGTACGCATACCTGAACTCTTATATCACCTAGATCAGCTATCGCTCGTTATATCTTTTTAGTTTGTATACAACGCCTGGTAGATTTCAAATTTATGACTTCTTTCAAATATATGTATTCTATATTTAACTAGTTACTAAGCTGCAGCTACTTATTTAATCAAAAAACTTAGCAGGAACATCTTTGTACTTAATGATTTATCTCTAAATTGGTGTATACAGTCTGGTTCAAATTAGACGGCTCAGTTTGAGTGTTTCGTCTTTCTGTCTTACAGACTAAGGGTGAAACGGCCAACCTTAAGGGTACCTTACCAAAGGGTAACGTACTTCGTGCTCGTTCTCGCTGTAGGTACAAGCCACGCGCAAGCACAGGGAGCGGATGATTACAATGTATTTGTACGGGCTCTACCTCCAAATCAGCAGCAGCAGCAGACCCAACAGATATATCAGCAACCGCAACAGCTGCATCCATACCAACAGGTCGGTAAATCACGTGAACTCAAAAATATGGTATTTTTTATTGGTGCTAAAATGACACAATGGCCTTTTGTGTCGGACGAGCCAGGATCGTGTGAACCTCGAGTATCGAAAAAAAGGCCATCTAGGCCGCAGACGATGAGACAAGTCAGGTGTTATACCTCATTAGGATCTGTTGTCTATCGGAAACTTCTTCAAGAACTAACGACAACCTAAGGGTCAGCAACGATCTTGGAGCGAGCGTAGCGTGTGTGTCACTTGGTATCCGAATAGCGAAGAAAGCTCTGACAAACGCTTAAGAAGTTGTATCGTCTTTCATAATCTGCTATATAAAATATATGGGATGAACGTTTTGAGATACTTCCCTTAATCTTCAGATAAAATTCGTCAAAGAAACTGTATTTGGTGCTGATTCCTCTTCCCGAAGTCGAATTTCAGAAAGCTTCATCGTTAATATCCGTTTCACCATATCGGTGCCAGGAGTTACGCTTGTTTCTATTTTTGGGCAGTAGTGTCGCATGTCAGCATGATTATGTGAGCTCGAATTATATTGAGAAAGAGCTTTTGTAGAAAATCTGCGCCTTTAGATGAGTATATGCCAACCCATGTGGCGCTTGACCGTCATCTTTCGCGCGCTTTATCCCACGTTCTGTCTTATATGTCACTAGTGGTTTGTCAGATAACCACACAGCCACTGAGTCACACGTCTTAGACACACTGATCGTATGGTAAAGAACGTTTTGTTTAAACTGTTTGTAAAGACCTGGTCCATGGCTTCAAGGGTGCGTCGGCAAATACTGAGTTTATGGGTTTTTAGGCCAAACCTTTACATTTCACATTTCGCGATAGGATTATTTTGGACATAGTTATATAGACAAGCAAGAGTTAACGAGGGTCGTATAAAACTTACCAACCTTGCTTATTTATCTAGCGAAAATAATCATAATTACTTTGAGATTGTCTTCTCAGTCCTCCTTTAAGTGACGCCTCAGCGGTTTCTACTTCCTGTCCATTGTACGATATAACTGCTTACTCGGAAAAAAGGGTGCTCTTCAAGCTTAAAAATGTGCCGAACGTTGCTTTAGAACTAATTTAGAATGGGCCTAAATACAAGTAGAGGACAACGCCTGTTGTTTATTCAGACAGTTAATGTAGCTTCATAGGCCTCTGTGCTATTTGGTGTGGGTTTGACCGACGTTGAACAATACCATTTTTCTCGAAATCCGAAATTGATCCTGATTTTAGCTCGCAGAGGATGTCAATACCCTATTTGAAATTTAATTGTAGATGTATTCACGCATCCGAATGGAAGGATTTCCCCAGCGACTCCTAGGTATATTTTTAGTTCGATACTTCTCACTAATGGCTGGCTAGATTGTGCTCTATAATCAAGAATGTCCACACAGTCGACCCTTGATAACATACACATGCACAAGTATCGCACAGACCTGGCTTCTGACATGTTCCGTTATTCGTTCCCTGACACATCGTTTAGATGTCAGCCGTCACCCATTGGTCTGTGATCACAGTTTAATTATCCATGTCGATCTGTTATCGTGCTCGATTCTAATGAACACCATTTTTCTTTATGGTATAATCGATGGCTACTTTTTTGTAGGACAACCGACAGCACGCAGCCAGTGCGCTGGCAGGCCACGACCTAGATATAATGCATAAAACTGAACCACCATTGAAAAGGAATATTTGTCGTTCTGTGTCGTTCGTCTTCGTTAGTTCTGCTACTTGTTTTTTGGTTTTTGGAACCCGATATTGTCGCGTTTTTTGTTTGTGCCGTGTCAATGCAAACCTTTCAGCACATAGCGGAATCATCTTGACGTATGTCTATCATTAGCTTTCGACCTTCTGGTAAAGGGTCTGCGACTACCGCTAAGTAACAAAACAAACATGTTTGTCAAACTAGTGGGTGCCGTAACTATGCGTTGTTATAGCGGAGGAAGCGACAGTTGAGGTTAGAAGAACTACATTCGCCTGACTGCTAGTCGTTCTATTGAGAAAGCTCGGTAGACGAACAGTGTGATATGAATCGCTGGTATTAATCAAAACGGTTCCTTCATGGCCGTTATCTTATTCAGAATTTCTTATTATATAAGACGGGTACACAGCTATTTTTCTGCTACATAAAAAAACAGTAGTGATATTATCATAGAAATGCTATTAGCTGAGTACAAGCAATGCTTCTGCTTTATTTTTCCGTAATAAGCGGCTTAACGCTAGATGCCATAGAGTACAGAATGACATTGCGGCTTTCCTCGAGGCGATAAAATTGTACTGTAATTATGTTGTAAGTATATTTTAATTCAGTAGAAACGGCCTAATTGAGTAAGTAGAGTTTATGAACAAAAGGAAAAATGTTTAATGCACAAAATGTCGCATCGTTCTCGTATCAATAAAATCTATGATAGTTATATCAAACCGCATATTGAATTTGGGCGTTTCAACAGATCGGTGCGATGGTCAGAATTGTTTCAATAACTCTTCTTCGCCATTTTGCTTTCTTTGAATTACATTAGCTTTGATTTTTTATGACACGGATACTTATTGTGATAGTCTAGGCAAAACATTTCTTACACAAAAAAAGTTTCTTACACGGAATAGGTTCCGTATTTATGAACGTAAATTATGGCATTTTCAGCAGTGCAGTAATTCATGTGATCCCTTTAAAAGAACGGGTTTTATTACCTCTCAGATAATAGGAAACTAAATGTTCATGAGGCTTGCAGGAGTTTTCTTAACGATACATAGGTAAAATAAACAGAATCAAAAAACAACAGTGAAGAAACTTCATTGTTATTCCTTATATTACAGTGATAATTAATTTTAACTCATAGACGACGAGCAAAGTTGATTTAGTGCGACTAGAAACAAAGCACACATCAAAAAGATAGCTTTGAGACACATAAAATTAGCACAGATCGAGAGGGTGTGAAGAGGGGGAGGGGGAGGGGGAGGGGTGGGGGGGTGAACTTTTGGGCTTTCTGTTTTCCTGGAAACTATTATACATGACGTACGAACGCCCTTTCGTGAGGGGATAGCCAAAAAACAATCGGTTCATACGGTCTGTAGAAAGGTTTGCCAAAAAATTCTCGAATATCAGGTATAATTAACCATATCAGTGAAATTTTGGATTTCAATGAGAATAACATTAATAATCGGCTGCAGAACGAGCATCCTAACAATTGGTATTCTCCATAGCAAAGATCTTTTCTTTGTTTTGGGGATCCTTTTGCCGTAATATTCTCACGATGCTTATGCATTCTCGCTCTCCTTAGAGAAAGTACAAGCATAACATTGACAGAAATGCTAGTAAGACTTAGCAGTCTTAACAACACTCTACTTGAGGAAAAGCTTCAAGAATTGAGAGGATACAAAGCTGCCTGGGGATTTGCCGATGGCGAGCGGCGTGCGGAAACAGACTCGTTGAGACCTTTGGCAATGCTGTACGCCTCAAGAAAAATCAGTCTGCGGGGAGTCATTGCGGCACCTGAGCAAAGCTCGCTGCAAGCTAATGCTTTCGCTACGAAAACGATTCGATAAAAATAGCAGCAGCCCAACGAACAGCACATCTAAGCACCGAGAATCACTCTTGCGTCCCAACAGCTATCACGCAACTACGCAAATTACGGTTCTCGTACATTTTGTATAAACTAGACTAGAACCTAAGAGAGGTGTAAAGCACCATATATATATATATATATATGTATATACACATGGATACCGTGTTCTACCGTTAATACGCCTAAATTACTGTAGGTAGATACTAAGGCTGCAATCACTTATCATTTGTGGTAAGTATACATAATAATGCACATAGTAATACATAGTATTATATACGCATTCGATATGTGATTATATTTGACATGTGTTTAAACATAGTAGCACAGTAGTAACGCAACAACTACCGTACCGTTACGTCCGATCCCGTCGCACGCGAACACGATGATTTGATTATTAGGTTCGAGGCCCCCACCAGTATCAACAGTATCAGGAACAATATCCCAACCAGTACTATACCGACTACCAGGCGCCAACTGCCAGCGTTCCAGTTCAACAACAAAGACACGTACCTCAACATCCTGTCCCACAGGAAGATGTCGATGACTCCGAGTATTCATATGAACAACAACAACAACAACTGCAGGAGTACGAGGCGCCGACAAGTGCGGTCCGAAGTACCACAGCAACGACAACAACATCAACAACAACAACTTCTAGACCATCCACAACCACGACAGCCACAGAGGTAAACAGCGTACGAAGTGCTAGCAGAAACGTGTCGTGTATGTAAACAGAAGAAGACGATGAAGGGAGAGTGAAACGGACAAGGTATACAGGCAGAGAGCGCTGTGCGTTCTTTATCAGTTAAGGAGAATGCCAGTAATTTGTGGATGGTGATAAGCGATGATGACAAATTTATATGCTGTTTGCTGATGGTCGGCGAAGGCTACTTGGTAGGAGAATAAAAACGCCGAAGAGCGAGGGTTTTGGGCAGTCAAAGGCTCACATTCTCCACGTATATATTCTTTAACAACTGTTATATAGTTGATCGAGTTTAAATGCTCCTGCTATGTTTACGCCGGCGGTCCTGGCTGGTAATAATGGCTCGTAGCTCCACTATTAGCAGGTGTGTGCATTAGCCTTACTTATAACCGTAGGCCGTAGAACAGTAAAGGAAACGCGCATATGCACGCCATATATACGCACTTGGGATAAATCCAAGACTCTTTATAACCGAAGTTCGGATTTATAATAAAAATTGCAATAACACTACGTTACACTTCGGTGCCGTAATGCCTTTCCATTCGACTACAGTAAGCATTACGCACGAATATGATTATTGTCGTTACGAGGAACTCTCCTACCCGACACTTTCTTCGCATGTCGTATGTTGATTCACAATGAAAATGAACGAACGTTTCATAGACTTTTGCAGCACATTTTTATTCGTTTATGCATTTTTGACCTCGATAAGTTGAAGGTAACTTATCTAATAGAGCGAAGAGTACAATAAAGAATCAACAATAGTGCCTATTATTTTACCGACATTGACAACGAGGAGAGGTATAGCACAGAACTTATACCAAGATCGTTGTGATGACGGAGCTTACGACTGATAATTTTGGACTTTGTGGGAATCGAGCAAGCAAGAAATGAGGCGTATGATCTGACATAAACCTCGCAACGCGTGACGAACGACCCCAGCAGTCGACGTCAGGCACTTTTCCTTCAACCTGTCCTTCTACATAGGTCCTGCTTAAAGGCTTTAAGCGCTAGCGATACTAATGACTGCTTGATCCCTCAGGCCGCGACTCAGCATCCGTTCTCGGCCACCTCTGCTATCGAAACATCGACGCCGGCCGTTCAGAAGAGCCATATGAGCGTGTCGTCAACATCATCGGTCGAGAACACCGATAGACAGGTAATTATTTTCATATCATTCTGAACAGTGATCGCTCTGTTCTTCGTTACATCTTTTAAATCGCATCCGGCTTACTGTATTCGCAATATCACTGGACTTACTGGTTTTGGCTCAGTCCCTTCATTTTGTTCCAATATCGACATCGCATGTTACGACCTTACGAGGCAAGCAGTTGGGATGGGGTTCCGAATTTCGATTTCGGCCACCCCCTATTTTACCCATTCGCTTACTGTGCTCTTCCCGTTGTCGTCCAAATGAGGACGTCGGTCTCCGCGCTAAAGTGGCAAAGAGAAGAGAAAATGAGGTAGAGACAGAGAAAGGCCGCGTATGGCGTACCAGTCGTGAAAAAGCTGATTTGACGTGGGTCACCGATTCAATGACTGCACCACTTTTTACTGCACAATTAATAAATTATGTTTTACGAGCAACAGTTGTAATAATACGTTGGAGGAAGGTCACATTTGTAAACACACCTTGACCTTCTTTACATAGCATGTTTATTGCTGTTCTTTATATAGGGAAAATCTGCCGGTCAATCTGGAAATCAGAAGCCTGTTCAGGTCGTACAAAAAACTGTGACAAAAGACAAGGATGGAAAGAAAGAAGAATATGTCGTCTATTATTACTATTATTATGATGATGATAGAAAAAACGATACCGCAAAGGAACAGCCTGTCGATTCCCTAGACTCGTTTGACAACGTCGACAAAACGCCGTCGACTCGTTTCCAGCCTAAGACAGTTTCGAGCAGCGCGTCACTGTCGCAATTTAGCGGTGCCACGACCTCATCAACAGCCACACCTAGCTTGAAGGTTAATTCGCAGGAAAGCGTAGTTACGGCAACTGCTTCATCCACCCGTAAGTTGATTCGAAGTTTGTATGATATGTACAAATCTCTACTTAAGTACACTTTGTCTTTGCTTATTTCGAATACTTCGTAAGTAGATGACCAACTATTCAAAATGAAATTTTTAATAAATAAAATAATTACTGTTATCTATCCTGTACATATGTTTGTAACCAGTTGGTATTGTTACTTAAGTCCATTTGTCGGTTACATTTTGCAAATAAATAATACGTTGCCGTTAATTATTAACTTAATCTCGCCCGAGACCAATTTTGAATCTTGTCCCTTTTAATTTGCTATAAAACATTTCAGTAGCAGCCGTTGGTGAATCGGCAGATACCGACCATATTGTGGCTCCATCCGGGGCCCGACTCAACTCTGACGCCGTCTCCGTTCCTTCTGGCCAACCTGCATTAATTTCCTCAACTTCGACAGTTACTACGTCAACGACAACTTCAACGACTACCACTACAACTACCGAGGAGCCTTCGACGACGTCCACCACCGAGGCATCGCCTAAAAAGGGTATTGGAAACCGCCGAACTCGTCCTCCAAGGCCTTCTGGGGGATCTCGAAGGAGAACTACAACAACATCCACAACAACGACTAATGTTCCATCAAAGAGAACTACGGTGTCGCGAAAACCACGTCCCACTAGACCATCTCGGCTGAGCGGAGGCCGAAGAAGGCCTTCAACGGAAGCACCCAAAGATGACACCGAAGAGAACAGAGACGAATCTTCCACAACGACGGCTGCATCCGATACGGAAACGAAGCCTACCAGAAAGCGTTTCGGAGGCGGCCCGCGTCGTGGTTCAAAACGAACAACCGTCCAAGCACCGGCAGCTTCCAGTGCAGAAACCACAACCACAGCACCAACGAAGAAGCCCCTTCCCACAAGAGGAACCGCTGGCGGCCTCTTTGGAAAGGGACAGGGAATTCGAGGACCTCGGCCAAGGCCTGGCAGAAGACCAGGTACGATGTTAGCCTCATCCTCTAAAAATAATACTTTTTTTGTTATACTCTGGTGAGCGTCAGTCTCTTAGACATAAAACGAGTGATATCATACAACTCCACAATTTGTCTATACCTTGCCGTCGCTAATTGTATGTTATTACGCATGTACTGAATGAGGAAATTTGTAAGGGAGCTGTTTTCGTCATAGCATCATATTGTTACGGGGTAGAGCATACAGAATGGACACAAACAACAAGCTAGTCTCACTTTGCCACGACATATAGAGAGTCTGAAAAAGAAAGAAGCCGCTAGCTTTCGGCGAGATGGCAGTCGTTTCCTTTCGTTGTCGGTGGTTCTTTCTCAACTAAGCCAATCCCCAGAGGTATCATTAGCCCTCTTCGTTGTTGATGCTTGCTCTCCTGACAGCCATCATATATTATTACGATCCATAATAGAGATAGGTCGTTAGATTGAGAGCTCTTAATGTGTCCTTGAGGCCCGCTCGGCAACATCCTGGTGCAATGAGTTGGGGGAGGTAGACCTTCCCGCAGCATGTTGCTTGCTACGGTTGCAGCAACTATAACGGCCGCTTCTGGTGTAGTTTCTTCTAAGGCTATTGTACTGATGTTGTCGATCTCGTGTCTTAGCGCGTTAGAAATAGTGAGCGGCGAATGTGTTATAGAAACAAGGACAAAATGAAGGAAGTGGTATAAAAGGGGACAAAAAATAAGACAGGGGTGAAGAATATGCGTCATAAATAATTGCGATCGTTTTGTTGTGTTCTTCAGAGTAAATTTCCTTTGATTTTACGCGACGCGCACGTTATATATCATTTTCAAGCCGAAACAGGTCAAAGGTTTAAAAAAAAAAATCGAAAACTTGTCTCTTCAAGTAATCGATCCAAGTGTTAACGCCTTAAAACGTATAATTTCGAATATATTTTCGGCGAATCCTAAAAAGGTAAATAGTTATTCTTTGATTGAATTCTGTCTAGTTTTCTATAGTTGTAATAACAACTGCGTGATAAAGTTTTAGAGAACTCTGGATTTGAACAAAAACAGCGTCAGACTTGGTGTAGTAAAATTTATAGGCGCCGTATCTTTACCGCTAATCGTTAGTTGCTTCCAAGTGGAATTGGAACAATGAACGGTATAAAAAGGTTTCATTCTGGTTTTCGGTAAAAAAAGCTCGACGTGTTATTCTTTAAGTATGGTTAATGTTTACTTCGACCGATAGCTCATAATTTATATACCGCGAACTTTAAGTCGCCACTTAAAGCATCGCTGTTCCGTCTAAATTTCTATCAAACAGACTGATCTTTGAACTTGTATAAAGTGAACTGATTCTCTCTTTCTATTTTGTGTTAATTGCGTAGATACATTACAGAAAAAAATGTATACCATGTAGAAATCTTAATTAAATAAAAAAAATTTTATTTATTCACCTTTGCTGGCAGTAGCCAAAAAGTTGCTGTAGATATCATATGACTTCATTTGAGTTTCTTTTTCCTTCTTTTATAATTAATTGTATTATTAGTATTATAACTAATACCCTAATTATGACTGATCGTATATTTCGTTCATAGTGAAGAAGCAGCAAGAAGAGACAATCGAAGCTGGTGAGGAAAAGGACAAAACAGGTCAAGAAGAGGCTCCAAAGACGGAAGCTCCTGTAGCCAGGACTGAAGAAACAAAGGTATAATTAGTTAATCAGCCTATACTTGATGAGAGGTCAGGCCAAATTTCATAGGAACTTGATACATTCTCTACCGATATTTACAACGTATAAGTGCTTTTGCGATATATTAATTTGTTATTCACGACTATATCATTTACTGAAAACGTTTCTCGTATATTTATTTGATACGATTGTAGCAGTGTGTTGCAAATTTTTTATTTATTTTCTATTAGTAGCAGTTAACTTAGGTATTTCAGGACTACACTGCAGTCTCCTGTACTTACTGGAAAAAACGGTTATTATCAAACTTCAAATCATTAAAAATTAACTCCAGGTTGCCTTTATAGACTCTGTGTACATCCTTTAAAAAAAATGCACTGAGCTAAAAAGGCTTTGCGTCAGTTTTCCTATATATTCAACTCCGAACCGCAACTAGGCAGATAGATAAGATTTGATGAGGACCGTACCAGCTTCTCAGACGCTCTTCTAGTTTTTTTCTCTATATAGAGCGTACTGCACTGTGTTGGACATACAGCTACGAGCTTACTTAAATAGCTAAGGTAAAACTGTTATTTGTCATAGGTTGAGGAAACTGGCGATGCGGAGGTGACCGAGAGTCCCGCAACAACATCAGGACCTTCACGACCTCGACAAAGGCAACGCGGTGCGCTTTTCGCGAATAACCGGCCTCGACCCAATCTGCGTCGGCCCACTCCTGCAGCAGCGCCAACAGCGGCCGAGAGTTAAATGATATCATCAACACCGTCGCTACATACGACGCGGTTGTAGGATTGGAAAAAGCTTGAATGAGAAAAATCGAAAGAATTTGAAGATCTTGGAGGGAAAGAAAGAAAGAAAGCAAAAATCAAGAGATAAAGATAAAGAAGGAGAAACAAATAGATACGCTACATATGGCCGTGTAAGCGCCTCGTTCTGCGCGAGGCGGTGACTACGGCAATACTGATTACCTCCATGGGCCACCGCCGATAGCCTAGCGCTGTGGTAGGGCAGTTCGTCGCAGCTTCCCTCTATGTAAATTATTAAGTGTTGTGTCCCTGGCGCTTTTCTATCCCTAAGAAATAGGTGCGTCGTCTGCTCTACTGCGTTGAGCAGAGGAAAAAAAGAAGATGTGGAATTGGAGCGCGTTTAAAACAATCGCTGCCACGTTCGAGGTTTTTGTGGCATGAGGATCCTTAAATGAAAATCTCATAATAAAATGAAATGGTAATAATAATATAAACAAATCACTGCAAAGAATCGTATTACGGAGAATGAACGAAAAAGAAAACAGCAAGAACAAAAGCACGGGAGAAACGAGACGATGAGAATGACGACAAAGATGATGAAGGGACCTGTTTTGCGCGCTATTTTATTTAGCAATGATAATATATAATATAAATGTCTTAATGTTAAGACTGCCAACAGATGACCGAATAAAGAGTAAAACCTAAATTTTAATAAAGATAAACCTATAAACGTTTTTAACGCTGAAAGGGTTGGTAAGCACAGGGTTTACAGTTAATCCTTTTGCTCCTTTATTTTGCCGTTTCTCGATGTTCGCTTTGAAGGTGATAACTTCACAAGAGTTTATTTTTTTGCAAGAAAGTTCAAACTCCAAATCTTTCGGGCTGATTCATAGCTGTCGTTTTTATAGGAGAGGTTTTCAGGGTTATCATCATTTCATTACATTTGTATCTTTTTTTACTTTATTTGTGTATAATAAGCAGACGGCCATAGCAAGCTTAACTGTGTCTATACGCATTCGTAAAGGTACACACGTATATCGCACATGTTTTTTTAATATTTACGTCAAAAACCTGTCAGAAGTGGTTGGGGCGCATTTGCATTGTTTCTACTAGACATCAGAGCAGCGAGGTAACTCTAGTACAAGCAACGTTGATCTTAGCATTTTTGTTTTGTTCATTAATTAATATTGAACTTTTTTAGAATCATTAGTTAATTAATTGTTAATTAATTAACTAACGATTCTACATTAACTTTAATTGTTGACCCACCGGTGCACTGGCTTGAAATGAAATTTCTAAAAATGTTGCCAAGGTTATATTTTTTACATTTTTCTATATATCGTTAAAGTCAATACAGGAGAAACTGCTAAGCGGCACCAAGCTTATTTAAAATGATTTTCCGAGCCACTTTACCGCTTGAAAGTTGTACTACTAAAGCTGCCCAGTTGATCATCAGCTTAAATACACGATAAGCTTCTTGACTTTGCCATTGGACACTAATCCAATTGGTTCAGACAGAGCGCTGCCCAAAATAGCACAATTCTAGTACTATTTATTTGTTATTACCGTTTTTATCACCGCTATTACGTTTACATCAAAGGTGGCTTAAATCGACAATGCTCCCTAAGACTTGTCCCTAGCTAAATGAATCGTGCCGGGAGGAACTGCACAGCAAGGAAAATAGACATTATACGACCGCTGTTTTCTAAAAAAAAAGAGCGTTCTATTCGCTGTCAGATAATTTATGACTAGGATTAACCTCTGCAATAGTTCAATTAAACTTGTTCTTGACAGGTTGAACTTAAGCGTTTAGTAGCTTCTTTTGCATGTCGTTTGACTAGCAGTACAATAATTATAAATGATAAATAATAACCGTAGGATCAGAAGCAAATCGCTGCGAAGGTTTTTTACGGGGAAGAAAAGCAATATTCCTATATGCCAGTGATATGATAATGGAAAAATACAAAGAGGCGACGCGCTTTACGGTTTAATGTAACAGTAAAGTCCAATAGATTCCAGAGCTGGAAGGTTTTTAGGTTTAGAATCGGCTAAAAACTAAAAACATATTATTAAGCATCTAGTATCTCAGGGCAACCTAAAATTTTATAGAAAACTATGTTCACGATTTTGGTCATTTGAGAAAAGATCTATTTTATTAGTTTTAAAAACTAGTGAAATTGATTTGAGTACGGTATTTAACCTAATCCTCACTAATATTACTATTATTATTATTTATAAGGGATATAACGAAGATAAAGCTTTGCTCTACGTTTACTAAATGTTTCCTCGTATATCACTCTATGTAAATTTAGCTTGAAAGCATAATTATAACTAGAACGTAGTACCTGATCCATATTTCTTTCCCCTTAGTCATGTTGGTAGGCATTTAATTTACTTTATTATACTAAATAATAAAACTTTTCGTAATTAGCATCCAATTAGCCCTGTCTTAAGCCATTATCTCAGGTTAAAGAAAAATGACCATTTGTCTTACGTGCAATATTTAGTAGGCTTGATTTTTCACGGTCTGCTTTGTCCAGTCAATTGTTCTACAGACCTTTGAAGTTGGATGTACAAAATAGGAAAGTAATTATCTGACCCATGTTTTTCTTTTTCTCTCTCTTTTTTTTGAGTGGGTCGGTGTGCTTCGACTTACAGCCCACTGCCGGCCCTTCACCGCGGACGGGTATACTCACTATTGCATTTAGTTATTTAGTGTTTTGTTGGATGCGGAAAAGACCAGGTCTGTGGACAAATATTTTGCGGCAGTGTAAAAAGCTTCCCCAAAATTATGCAAAAATTACACCAACAAACAGAACAGAAGCCTTCTGTCGATACCGGTTTGCGTGGGAGCGACATCATCACTGCTACGCTACACACCCCTAATCAAAGCAAAGATAGAAATTATCCCTATTTTGCAGCAATCAAAAGGCTCCTATGGAAATGAGTACGACGAATTCGTCCACTACTTTCACCCGACGCGGTATTGCCGTCCTCTAAATCGTATCCTTTGCTGAGACTGACTGAAAAAATGACTGACATGTGCCTATACCCCTCATCCGCCATTTCTCATCGGAAACCCCCAAAGTTGCTGTCGTACCGTAACGATTCAGAGTTAGGCGGTACCATGAATAAATACTTCTATAAATTCAGTTACAACTATCTCAATCTGATTGCTATTTGCCACCCATTAATCTACCTATCCTACTTTGTTCCAAGCCCCAAGGAAGAATGACGTCAACAATTCTTTTCCACGTTCCTATCCGACTGCCTCGCGCCTAAATGCCAAGATGATTTGCGGCAATTGTTATGCCCGCCTGTCCAACCGCTAGCTCGAGGTAAAACTCATTTGCACAGGACGTTGGCTGTGTAGAATCTTTATATAAGGTAGCTTAGGGATGACAAATTTTCCACACTTTAGGATCACTGCTGTACTAAATTGGAAGACAAGTACAGACCTGTTCTACAATATGGGTACCATTTCGCCTTATTGTTTGCCATGGAGAGAAATTTTCATTTGATAGCTCTTCTTCAATTTCGTATATTTCAATGCTGAAGTCGAAAAACTACCTAATGGAAAACCTGTCAATTATTGACGTAGACTCACTCGCTTTCACCAGCAACGACCGCTTTGAAAGTATGAAGTTTCGCTCCTCCACTTCCAAAAGCTACCGTATATGTGTTTTAGTTTTACTTGCAAGGCTGTCTGTCGTTCGTTCGTTATTAATTAAGACGCGAAAAGTTGTTGTGCTCATAGGTTTTGAAACAACACCAGCTCACATGTCTCAAATTATACTAACAAAGTACTGTTATTATATTACTGCAGTTATGGTAGGGTTCCCTTTTGTGTTATTCCGGGGCACACACAAATCGAACTTATTATGACGAGTATATACTATGTTAGTTGTGCAGGTTATGACTCAAGAATGCACAATACGGTTTCCTCCTGTACCGTAAACAGGAGTGGAAAGTTTTCAAAGTCGCAAAAAGAGGCGACGATTCGACCGCTTGAAAAATATACACTCTCGCCATGGTGAACCTAAGTGAATGGAATATGTATATTTTTTAAAGTGAATAGGGAACCTTTCCTATATATTTACACGGTACTCTAATACTTCTTTTCGAATAGTCTCATCTTTACAGGAGAGGCGCAATGACGTGACGCCCTTCTCACCGGTTTGTTTATTAAAACATGACTACACAGGGTTAATTTAGCCTTTGCTTAGAAAGCTACGTGGTCTATGATTAAAGCTACTTCAGAGGGCAGTGTAAGGGAAAGCATATTTCTATTTACGAAGATTATTTGTCTTTGTTAATATAAGAGGCCGACCTGAGGCTCTTATTAACTATTCGACAAACGCGTTGCCAGAAATAACCTTCCGATTCCTAATGGAGGCATAGGTATAATTAAATATGTCCTTTCCGTTTCTTTTATGAGTTCTTAGCTTTTTTTGAGTTAGTCTTCTCCGTATAACTTTTTTCAGACTCCTTGAAAATCCCACGAAGAGTAAAAACAGCGTAGCCATTTATACTGAAGAAAAAAAAAATAAGAAGCTCCTGTGTAATTTCTTTGCGAGCTTTCCCAGTGCGAATACTGAAGCTCATATATCGAAAAGAAACCGTTTGCCTTGGCCACGATGAGCTTTTGCGCTTCTTCCTTGCGCTGAAAGAATGAATGAATGAATCATCCCAGTAAAAGCTGCTACATGTTCAAAGTTCGAATATTGCTGGGTACGATTCGTGCTAAATACCATTATTTTATAAAGTGAAGACCATAATGGTTTCGAATTTTTTTAGAAATGATTTTCCTTTGTGATGAATTTATCATTGTACATCTTATCGCCTTACTTGTATGTACCATAGAACAACACTAACAGCCCGATTGTTAGATGCTTAATGAACGTATTTTGTGCGGGACAATAGAACAGATTTAGTGCCATTCTGTCTCTTCTGAATGAGGGTAAGTATTCGTACAGTCGATGGCTGAATTTGCTCGCTCATCAAATTATTTATGAGCATGCGAGGTTTACTGGTTCCACCAAAAAAAGAACCGGCTTCTGTTTGAAATGGCCACTGCCTTCCTCCAAAGGCAACAGATACCCCATGTCGTACTCAGGCTTCAAATGAATGTACGAGCTGGAAGCTCTCCAAAAGCAGCAGGCCGCGGTCCGCGAAGCGCTAGTATCGTAAGCAGTGAGGCTCGATTCCGCTGAAGGAATCGAACATGACCATCGAATGAGAGTTAAGGAAATCTCCCTGAAAAACCAAGTCATCCGCGTTGCCGATATCTCAATTCTGGCTTACATATTATATATATGATCAAATTACGACGGAAGCCAGTTGGAGAAGGACTGCCCCTAGAGATTGATGCGATTGGAGGAAAACATATAAGGCAATATCGAATTAGCTTAGCAGAGTCATAATCATTAACTAAAATTCTCACG